TTACTCTACATTATATATAAGCATGACATACCTATGAACTCCAAAATATTGACCGCCACCTACGATGATGATACTACAATTTTAACACAACACAATAACCCCAGACTTGTCTCAATACATTTAGAAAATCATTTACTAACTTTACAAAATTGGTACTCACTTTGGAAAATAATATTAAATCATGACAAGTCACAACACATAACATTTACACTTCGACGAGAAACGTTCCAACCAATTTATATGGGAGAGAACCAAATTCCTCAGACAAACACATTACGTTACCTGAGACTAGTATTCGACAGAAGGATGACGTGGGGCCTGAACGTCAAAATGAAACGACAGACTTTAAACAAGCGACTGAAAATACTGTACTCACTTTTTTCTAAATCAAAATTGAATGTTTGACTCGGAAAACAAAGATACGGCTGAGCTTCATGCCGTAAACTGAAAAGCAATAGCCCAAGATAGGCAGAGGTGCAGAAGGTTAGTTCAGGCGGCCAAAGATCTACAAGGTCTGTAGAGCCAACCGAAAAAAAAAAAAAAAAAAAAAAAAAATATATATATATATATATATATATATATAATATAATATAATATATAAGCAAATTAGTAACGGTGAATAAAAAAAAATATATTTTAGCCAATATTAGGAATCTCCTTTAATTTATTTTCCTTTGTGTGACATTTGACAGAGTTGAGATTGTTATTTCGCAGCTCAAAAGACTCTCAAAAAGTATGTTTTTCATGATTTCACTTATAATAATTAGAAAGATTAATGGATTACCTACAAAACAAAACAAAATAATCTGTTGAGCGCAACACACAACTTTCAGTTACCGCTCTACTTTGAATAGTTTCTACTCAGAGTACAATACTTTCTGGCAATGCTGGGCTATTTTAAAACTTTTTGAAGGGCATTTTAAACAGAGATAAACCTTAAAGCTTACAGATAACAAGTCATTAAGACCGTTATAATTACAAAATGTCTATTTAATATATCGACGGTAGGCAATAAAAATATAGTCACTCCATCTGCTTTTATAAACAACACTCATTCTTTGCTTTTATAAACCACAGAATGACTAACTCCAATTTCAACATTTTTGAATAATGTCACTTTAGTAATATTTTAAGTTGAAAAAGTTATCTATGCAGACAGTGAGTAAGTTGATTCCGGAGGTGGTGTTTGCAGTGTTGAAATATAGAACGGTGAATAAAAGTATAAATTTAGGTACTTATTTCTTATGAAAGATACTTTATTAAATATCTGTGAAAAAAAGTTTTTTTTTAGTCTCAACGATTAAAAAATTATATTTTAAATTTATCAAAATTTTCGTCACTTCCCGGATAAAATCTGTTTTTACGGTATATTTTGAATTTTCATCTGAAAAAAATATAAAATATCCATTCAGATGACTTACTATTGGACATTAGCACATTTATACAACAAATAATAACAAAAAAAAATGAATATTAACTCATCACAAATATACGGCATCGCTAAAAAGACCCACCTACAAAAACTTCAAACGTTCCAATCAAAATTATTGCGACTCATAACAAAAGCACCTTGGTACGTGACTAACAAAACTCTACATACTGACCTCCACTTTCCAACAGTTGACCAACATATAACGACCCTATATCAACGATTTACACAAATTTAAATGGACATAATAACAGACTTATAAGAGACATGGCCAGAGCTGACATACCTCAAAACATGAGCAGGAGACTAAAAAGGTGTTGGATGAGGGATCTCCTTCCTTAGACAACCTAAGTAATTGGAACAAGTTAGGGAAGAGGTACTGCTGAGTATTTTCCTTCCCCATGCCTGTCATGCCATTATATCATTATCGCCATCACATTTGCTGATTGTCAACTTATTGTTGACAGGCGCAAATATATATTTTATAGACAGTCTATAGCAACGCAGGTTTTTCTACATTTTTATTTTTTTCTCCTTTATCAACTTATTAAATTCATTCAAAAGTTATATTTAGCATTTTTTCGTAACTCTGAATAATGTGAAATGATCAACTTTTTAATATAAATTATATTAAAGGTACTTTAGAGGAAGACGTTTATGAACATTGGGCATTTAAGCCCTGTAAAATGACATCAATGAGGATAAAACCTAATTGGCATTGAAGATTACTTCATTATACCTTGATACACCGAGTTTAATCAAAATCGTTACAGCCGTTTTTGAGAAAATTATAAAAATTTTCTCGACCGCAATACTTACCCTTACTATATATTACATATATACGTAAGTGAAAGTAAAAATTGTAAAAATCAGATAATTATTAGTATATATACAGTAAATTTTGTTATAATTAATAATTTCTTCCGCTTTAAAGATATTACATTTGCTATTCTGCTACATTTTTTTCCACGCTGATATATTCATTATATTATTTCTTAAAAGCATTTGTTTGTTCTTCCATTTTATTTTTTTTAATAATTTCGAAAATCTTTTGATTTAGGCTTTATTTTGTCTTTATTACCTATACTATCTTTCCAATCAGCGCTTACAAATGGTCCTAGCAAAGTATTTTGTACAAATATTTTTGTCTATTATGTTAAATGGAATATTTTAATCGATAAAGAAAAAAAATATTAATTCCTTCCTTACATAATACATAGGATCAACATATTTCCATATTGTTTTCCTATTTTTTCACTAAAGAAAATTTTCTGCGAATTATTCGCATGGTCCAACTAGTATACTGTAATTGCATTAGGTCCTTTGTAACTATTGTTATTACTTGGATAATGATGAAAAATACATACAAATACAAGTAAAGAACCAAATGGGCTTAGTTTAATACTGCTGGAAAACAAATTATACTGATGGTAAAATAGGACGAACCACATTATTCACTAAGTATTAAATCTAACGTGTTATCTATTTGGTCTGATTTATCGAATTACAGATAAGTAGGAGCTATTTTAGTGAATACAAAGTGTAAAATCATACTTATCCTGACCTGTTCTGTTAATTTTTATTAATCCTGAATCAATCCCATTTATGCCCTCCTTTTCTAGTTATCTTGCTACAACTGATAAGCTCTGCGATATTTTACATTGATTTAATTTATTGCTACAAATAACCCTTAAGATTTGTTAGCAAATCCTATTCTGGTAAGTATAAAATTTTAATACTTTGATTTTAGATTTATTTTTAAACGTTTTATTTTTTATAGCCGATTCATAAATTTAAGTGAGCATGAAATGATCGAGGTTTTAACATTATTAAATGAAGAGTATAGCCAGTTAGTTTGCAAAGTTATTTGCAAAGTACCAGTTGCAAAGTTAGTTTAGAGAAAAAGGAATTCATAACAAAAGGCTAAAACAGGGCCGACAGATTTGTAGATGGGACAGGTGCTAAATGCATTCATCACCAGGCTCTGAGAAACCACATCAACTGTGGAGATAAGATGAGAAACCTGAATAGACAAGTTCGGAATGTTTTACATGAGTGCATATGAATTTGCAATTGAAAAAAAAACGGGAGAATTCTCTTTACAGATGACATGGGAGTTGTTATCAATTTTGCATCTTGAAATTGTCATAGGTTCAGATGGCTGAGAAAAGTACGCCTAATGTTGGCCTCACATGGCATTCTTTGGACGTTGGACGTTTGACGTGTGAGAGAAATATTTATCATTGGAAAGGTATTTAAACGAAATTACGGAAAAACCTTCAGTACTGTTTTCGTTCTACATGGCATAATCCTAAGACGCGTTAAACATGAAGTGTGGGTGGCTACGGAATGAGGTTGGAGTTTAGTGCAAACCACTCTCGTTAAGGTGGAAATTTATGTTATTGGTGAATGGAAAATTGTTCCTCAGGATTCTTTAAAAAAAAATTGAACGTGTTTTTTTATTTTATTTAGATACTCAAAACTGCATTAACTTAAAACAGGTAATAAATGCTTTCTTTTCAAAGAACTTATTTTAACAACTCAAACCGTTTGAATGAGAAAAATATGAATACAACTGAATAAATAAAAATTCTTAAGATAGTGTGTTTATGTTGTTCAGCAACGAGTAAATCATTAAAACAATCAACTAGAATTTATAAAATGGTATTATTTACCTTAGGTTAGAAGTTAATTCTGATTAATCAAAAATCCTATTTTCTACTAGGTATTGAAGAAATATAAAAAAAAAATTGGGTTATCATACTTATATTATAATTGTTCACCTGAGGCCATATCACTTACAGAAATTCGTTTAAAACTAATTTATATATATGGGAGTTGGCACCAATATTAATAATAGAGATTTAAAATTTAGTTTTAATTTTTTTTTCACTAACCAAATCCATGACGGACTTTCGATAAATATAATCATACATCATTTATAGAATTATCATGACATTGTCCTTTTGCTAAAACGGAAAGCTTGGGTGTGAATCTATATAACTGTGGCATTTATAAATTATTGCTCTTTTTTTAACAAAGAAAATATCATGCCGACTTATTTTAATTTATTTCAATATGTCACCTAAACTAAAGTCAAAATTAATTAGTGTATTTATTTATTTTTTGCTGAAAAATAAAAGATGTCTTACAAAAGTTTATAAGAAAGAACCCTAGATGCTGTTATTGATTTGTGTTATTGTTTATGAGGTTAACTTGACTTAGCTTTAGAAATTATTAAAGACACAATGTCTGCAGGGTGTAGTTAGGAAAATGTCTTATAGTTAAAGAAATAATGGAATCGATGAAAGATTTCGTTAGTACCTGCAATTATATTAATTGCTACCATTTGGATGTCAGAAAGTTTTCCTCCAATCAACTATAGAAGAACTCTCCAATCATTTCAAGGTAATCAGAATTAGTTCTTTGCTTTATTATAGAGCCCCTAATTTCCTTCTCTGTTCTCAACTAGGGTCATTCAGTTCCAAGATGGCTCAACTATCATACCTCCTTGGTCATCAGTAAATTCTACAATTTGTATGCCAACATTGATCCAACCTTAATTCGAAATATGGTTAAATACATAAGATCCCTGCTCGGCGACCTGCCAATGGTACTGGACAAGACATTTATGATCTCCATCGATTCTGAAAAAAGGTCCAAGCAGACATTTTTCACAATATGCAACGCGGTGATGACCACAGCATGCGTGGGTTCGATGTACTTCTTAGGATTGGAGAAGAGTTTGGAAGGTGCCGCTATTTTCTCGGCTCTGTCGACGACTATATCAGTGAAGCAGCTCATCTATTTCTTCAGGCAGGCTCAAATCAAGAAGTTGTTGAGCATACTTAGAAGGTTGCAGAAGCATCACAAAGAAACCTGGGAGAAGGAAATGTTCGAAGCTGGCTCCTTAGATACTTGGAATGCAGTCCATACATTCTGCTTGACTTTACTGTGTTACCTAATGTTGTTTCTGGTACTGTCGGCCGTTTTGGACTTCACAATCGGCAACATCTTTCCTAAGGCACCATCCCTGCTGGTGCAGCTACCTGGCCAAGGCATCATAGACTTCTTTGAGCCTCGGACCTTCCAGTGGTTAGTTGTTGCCACTCTCTTCCTAATGTGGGCTTTTGAAGCAATGGTCATTCACATCGGAACGGAATCGCTCACTTTCGTACCCATCATGTACGTAAAGATAGAATTGGAAATACTCAGGCGTAAGCTATCACTAGCCCAAGAAGATTTAACAAGAAGAAGTAACAATATAAAAGCACATCAATTATTAACTGATATAATTTTACACCATCAAAGAACGTTAGAGTAAGATAAATGTCTAAATATAGTTATGTGTTAGAAGATGAATGTTAAAAATGTATAACATATTTTCCAATTTTCAGGGCTTTAAATGTCATGAAGAAAACACTGGGACTTCCACTTCTTGTGCAAAACACTGCATTTTCAATAACGTTATGTTTTAATTTTTATTGCATCATCACCTTTGTAAGTCAATAGAAATTCCTTTATAATACACAAACACACACACCCACTCTCACACTCACTAGACACACATACACATAAAATATAATATATAATACATTCAGATAATAACTTCATTTTTATTGCATGTGAATTGATCAAGTTAAAAAGTGGTCAACATCTTTACTGAAAAATGATTTTATTTTTACTATAAATTTTATCTATTGTATTTAATTAATCCGGATTGTCCGTGTGTTAATGTCATCATGTGTAATAAAATTGTAGTTACCTCCTTAAAACAATCTATAATAAAAAAAAAAAAAAAACTGCAAATTATTTCACAATGGTTTATTGTTTTCAAACTATTATACATCTAAAGTAACATAACTTCCGAGTTACAAAGAAAAAAAAACAAAAGGTGATTCCAATTATTAGACTAAACTGTTTTTCTTTAATCATTAGTAATAATAATAATATAATAATAATAAGGATTAGCGAACCCGAAGGTTCGATGCCGACACCACCAATCGCTTGTTACACACCTCCCTCCACCGTTCGCCGTCCAAACCCAGTCCCTTCAGATCGGCTTTAATGCAATCTTCCCACCTTCGCTTCGGTCTACCCCTCGGACGCTTACCATTCGGCACAGCAAATATTAACCTTTTAGGAATTCTCTCGTTACTAAGCCCAACAACTTTACAAGCCCATTTGATTCGCCGCGATGAAATTACCTCAATTATATTACCCGGATACAGCTCACGCAATTCGGCGTTGTGTAACCGTCTGAACTCTCCGGTTAACTCATCCTTCTTCGGTCCGAATATTCTACGCAATACTTTATTTTCAAAATCATTAGTAATATGCTAAAAAAATAGCATTAGTTCAGTAACACATTCAAAATTTAAAAACCAAACCAAGGATATAACATTTGGAGTAGAACACATAAAAAAAAATGGAGACCATATCTTTGCTCCTAATTGTCTGATTTTAACGATTTTTTTATTGTTTTTTAGGAAATTTTGTAAACTTTAAAAAAACTATAAACAAAAAAATAAAAAATTTTCGAGTTATTCGGAATTTAATTTTACCATCGCTCGTAACTTTTATTCCAGCTTCTTTTCGTTGAAGTATGTTATATAGATAAATTTAAAGGGCGTCGAGAAAATGACTTTAGCGAAGTTTCATTGAAATCTGTACATTCGCTTAGGAGCTACAGTCTATAGCAACGAAGGTTTTTCGGCCGCCATTTTAAAAGTTAAAGGCGGAGAGTAATGTCGATGGAGGAGGAACATTCTCGGGTGACCTCTGATATTATATCAAAATTTGAAAAAAAAATCGGTGCAATAGCCGTCCGCGGACGGAGGACGGACAAAAAATTTGTTATTGAAATACAGAAAGGCAATAGCTATACAGGGTTTCTCAGTTCTTAATGGCAAAACTCTGGGGGATGATTCTAGACGAAATTCACAAAAGAAGAGTTCATTTGATGCATAGATTGATTCCGAACGGTAAAAGAATTAAGACCAATTTTGTGTATGTTTTTTTTAAGAAGGTCGCAATTTTTATTCAATAAGAAAGAATTGCTGAAAAGTTGTTCAAAATAATTAAATTATAATTACACCACTGTAAAATATACAATATTAAAAAAAAAAGTGATTAACTTTACTAATGATAAAAGGGACCTGAAGAGTTCTAATACGGCCGATATACGGCAGTTACCGTACCCATACCTGAGGAGCATCCCACTGTAATTCCGATTCCTGTAATAATTCAGCATAATGGTATGCATTTCGCTATTAGATCTCCTGAAAATCCCTGTTACCAATGATTTCAATTAGCTTAATCACTGTTTTCTAAAAGAAACTTTTGTCTACTTTACGATAGTGTACTCAAAATTTAATTATCTTGAACAGTTTTGAGAATTTCCTTCTTTTTCAATTAAAAATGTGACCTCTTTAAGAATAATACGAAATTGGTCTTAACTTCTGTTCGGAATTGGTTCAACCACCAATCGGACTTTTTTTTTTGGAAATTTTGTCTTGAATCGCTCCCCAGATTTTGTGGTGCTGAGACACCCTTCATTTACACGACGTTCCATAAGTAGAGGAAAATATTTATAGGAGTGATAGCAGAGATCTCAAGAGCTACAAACAATTTCATCAAAACAATGGGAAAATTTTCAATAGAAAAGTAGGAAATCCGAGTTTTATGTGTGTTTTTTTAAGTAAATCGTATTTTTTGTTGAATAGGAACCGATAACTAAAGAAATATTTCATTTAATTAATTAACAATAGTTTTACTGTAAACTATATAAAATTTACTTCAAACAAAATAGAGTTTGACATTGCTTAAACAAATTTATAAGGATTTCTCTGAGCAGAAAAACTAAGGTAGATTCTTTTTTTTAACAAATCATAAATTATTCTTCTAGATTTTTTTTTTATCATCTTCCAAATATACTAATGATCCCCCACTCAAACTTCTTTATTCATACACTTTTTTTAATGATGCAATTAAATATAAAGTAGTTATAAAAGAATTAGAATTGTTATATATACCAATTTTTGTTTTATATTTTTTATCAAGAAAAAGGATCAAGAAAATTAAAATCATGAAAAAATTAAAAACGAATTTCCATTGGAAATAAACATGTCTCGCTAAGTCATCTCAGGGTATAACTGTGTCCCATCTCATCCGACCGATTGTTTTATTATTATTTTCGATGTTTTTTTTATTTATTTTTTTTTTATTAATTGTCATAGTTCGTATTTACGAATAAAGTAATAACTTTAATTTTTTTTCCACTTTTATCCTAAAGGTCCATTGCCATTGTGTTATAGTAGTTGGTGTTTTCAGTAATTTTAACAGAGTAGAAACTCGCTCTTCGTTATTATGAAGAAATTCTCTTAATTGTAGTTTCCAATTTAACGTATTCTTTCGATTGATCGGTGATATTGTTGCATTTTTTTGCATTTGCGCCTTCAAGACCTTTTAAAAGGTAGTCATGTATAAATTGAGAGTGTTCAATTCTAAATTGGCACTGCCTAACTTCTCTCCTTGGTATTCTGGAGCTAGTGAGCCTTGACTGTGTTTGACTTCTGCTGGTTTACACTCTTTCATTTTAAAATTTTCCTCGTAATTAGCAAGCTGTAGTTCTTTGCTTGGTGTGCGCAGTATTCGATGATAGCATCTTTTAATTCATCTTCACTTCTAGCCGAATAGGATGCATGGCCAGTTCTTTCATTGCATAAAATGCCACAGAGGGCTGAAAAGAATACGAAAACTATAGGAATTGCTTTATTTTATATATTTCGCTATATACTATAACAACAATTTCTGCTGATAGAAAAAAGCAAATGAAAGTTGTGAAATGCACCATGCCAATTATTTTTTTGAATAATGATAATTATAAAACAGCAATTTTATTTTTATTTTTAATAATTAACCAACTTTCTATAATAATCGACTTACTAATTAGTTTAATTATAATGAAATTTACTCCACTACTATATCTATATCTAAGCACACTCCACTTCATATTATTTTGCTTTGACGAACAGCAATAAACATTAAATTTTAATTATGAATACTGTGAGTGAGCCTTAAAAATCTCTATGGCTACAGTCCCTGATTTACACAGAACGTAGTATTTCATAACTAGAATAGTGCTGTATTACATTGTGATACAGTATTGTTTGGTGTATTGTACTTCTCATGTAGTGTAATAATGAATAATGTGTCCTCTAATGATAAAAATACAAATATTTGGATTATTTCCAGGATGAGGGTAAAAATTTAGCAGTCAAATTCAACGGAGTAGCTGTCGTCATTTGTATCGGACTACTTTTGTTCGGTTTGTGCTTTTTTGGAGAATCATTGGAGAAAGAGGTATGAGTTATTCTAAAATTAGTATATGTACGTAGAAATTTATGATAAAAATGAATTTTGAAACATGTTGTCTTTAATCCTCTATACACGGTGAGTGGGGGAGGGGGAGAAGGGAGATTCCAAAAGTAGGTTGCGCATAAGAAAAAAAAAACAAAAAAATATCTTGATACCTATCATCTAAATGTTACCCGACCTAACAAGCAAAATTGTATAATTCACAGTCACGGTGAAATTGTATTTATATTCTGATGTTTAGAGGAACATCCTCGAATAGTCCTTGTAATTCAAATCATGTACAATCTAATCTAATCTAGTCTCCTGTGAGACGATTCTCTAACATGAAGGGAATAATTTAATAATCCTGGACAATACATGTCATTGGTGGTCTTTTCGAACGCTTATTAAAATACTACTTTGATAGAGGAAACGTTAATATATGTATGAAATGCTTTTTATAAGTGAAAATGTGTTTATGCGTAATTTTTGAAGTGAAAACGTCTTTAGACGCACTTTTGTTGCATTTGTTTTGGGTAGTGAATTAGATTGAACCGTCAAGCTCTAACGCTCTTTGGGTAACGCTTATTCGAGTGAAGTCGAAAAATATATATATTTCATATTATTAATCTCTCTATGTTAATGTTTGTGAGTCGATTAATTGAAGTGTTTTTGCCTATGGTTTAAAATATCTCAGAAACTAGAAATCATACAGCCCCTGTTTAGTATCCTCCAACAGCTTGCACAGGTGACTCAAGCCATGTATCCACAAAATGGCCGCTAATCAGCTGACTGCAGGCTCTTTGTCCATCCTTCTGTGGAGACATGGCCACAGCTGACATACTTCAGAACATGAGCAGGAGACTAAAAAGGCGTTGGATGAGGGATCTCCTTCCTTAGACAACCTAAGTAATTGGAACAAGTTAGGGAAGAGGTACTGCTGAGTACTTTCCTTCCCCATGCCTG